TTTGCACTTGCAGCATCTGATCTTCCAAAGATACAGTTTTCTTTTCCAATTTTTGCACTTTTTTCCTCACTATCTGCGTTGTCTCAGCCATTTCCTTTACTTTCTCAGCATCCTGCTTCATTACTTGAATCAAACCCGTTATTTGTGTTTGCTGAGCAGTAATGCTTGTTGTCACAACTTGCAGCTGCTTTTGTTGTGCAGTAATATTCGCTGTTACAACAGACATCTGTTCTTTAAAGACATTGAGCTGTTCCAGCAGAGGGTGCATGACCTCTGTCATCGCCTTCGTCGTCTCACTGGTCGTTTCCGGGGACTCTAGTTTCGCTTTTTAAAGTTTCTCTTTGTCTCTGTCCCTCTTCCCCACCATCTTTTTCTCGTTTGTTTGCTTTCGCAATAAATTTTAAAGTCTCTGAATACGCGCTTATCTGTATAGCTCGATGGATGAGTACTTCTGTGCAATTTCTTGTTTATTCTTCCACTCCCTCCCCTTTTGCTCAATGATTTATGGGCATGGGAGGCTTCCCTCCCACAACTCCCACTCGCTTCTGCCGTTTCGCCGCTTCGGGTAAGGAGTGTCTTTTTGTTTAAAAATCAGTTCTCATTTGACTCACGTTCATAGTTGGTCTTCCGACCCCTCTTCATTCATCATTTCAAACGCCTGATCTCCTGTGCTTGACCCGGCTAGCTTCACTTGTACCATCAGGTCTCTCAGCTGGACGGACCACTGGAGCAAGGGGGAGCCTCAATTCTCTGGCATTTGCCTAGAGAAGAGGCTACCCCCTCAAAGCTCCTTGGCCAGGTGCCCTTCCCCAGGCTCGGAGGGGGGTTACGAGCCTGCTCACCCCCTCCATCCGCCAGAGCACGGAGACACCCCCGGGAGGTCAGGGAGTTGAGTCCGTGAGCGTGCCGCCATCAACCGGAAGCAGTTTTAATTCTGAGTGATCTCCAGCCCTCACCTGAATATTGGCAGCAATGGTTCCCCAGTAGGAAAGTACAGTCTTTCTCTGCAGTGGAGACCAAAGCAGCTTACAACATTCTCCTCTCCCCCTTTTGATCTGCACAAGCCTGTGAGGTAGGTTAGAATGAAAGTCTGTGACTGGTCTGAAATAACCCATTCAGCTTCCACAGTAAGAACCTGGGTCAGGGGTGGCCAAAGTGCAGCTCGGGAGCCACATGTGGCTCTTTCATGCAGTCTAATTTAATGTTAATAAAAAGTAAATTTGCATATTTTTCAGTTGAAACTTATGTGTAATATTTCTTCATGTCTTGTGGCTCTAAAGCATCTGACGGTTATTCTATGTGGCTGTTACGTTAAGCAAATTTGACCACCCCTGACCTGGGTCTAGCAGAACCTTCTCCGAAGCACTAACTGCTATGCCTAGGGTAGCCAACCTCTAGGTGGAGCCTGAAGATCACTGGGTATCATAACTGAACTCCAGACAACAGATCTCTCTCTCCCTAGAGAAAATAACTGCTTTGGGTGGTGGGCTCTGTGACATTCTATTCAGTTGAGGCCACTCCCCTCCCCAAACTCTGGCTTCCTTAGACTCCACTACAAAATATCCAGGAATTTCCCAACCTGGAGCTGGCAACCCTAGTCACACACACAAAAAAAAACCTTTATTGGCATGAAGGCAACCCTAGTCAGGACCAATGAGTTCACCACAAAGGCCTCAAAAGGGCTTCCTTCCTTTGCCTTTTTAATACAAAAAAATCTGGACACACACGACCCAATCAGTTAAACAAGTATAAAGCCAACAGTTGTGATAGTCTGACCCACAATCAAACAGTCCTAAGACTTATAAAGAATGCTGTTTATGTACTGCAATCTAAAGCACTACAACATGATACACAACTCAATAGAAAATCCTTGAACCAAGGTACATAATCCGGAGACGACGTTGATTATGTGATTATTTGCCTTTTTTATGACAGACACAAGCTTGGTTGCCTAGCAACAGCCACTGAGGGAAAAGTTAGTCCCACAGGAGCAAAGAAGGAGAAGTGTCTTCATCAGGAGAGACAGCCGTTTTGGCAGTTTTTTTCTGTGAGGGAAGAGTGTCCAGGCTGGCAGTGGGTGGGGGAGAGGAGCAGACCCAGCCCCCAGCCAATGGCACGCAAGTACTCTTGAGTTGATGGGTCAATGGCTGATGGAGCACACTGCACAGCCAATGGGAGAACTGGAAATGGCCAATACGTAAGGGAATTATATACATAGGATTATTAGTTATTTATTATTTTATTTATTTATATGTTCAATTTATAAATTGCTTATTTTCTACTATGTAAGGCTCTAGGTGATGTACAACTGCTAAAAATAAAAGTAAAAACTGAAAATCGCCTACATCATCTCAGATGGTGTCAAACATTCCTTTGTGAGCCCTTCACAACTGCATACAGTGATTAAAGAGGGCCACAGCAGGAGGTACAGTAGCAGCCCTAATAGCCCAGGCTAGCCCGATTTTGTCAGAACTCCGAAGATTAGCAGGGTCGGTACTTGGATGGAAGACCACCAAGGAAGTGAAGAGAATTTTACCACAACCTAACTAGAAATCCAGAGAAGTGGTTATCTTTTTAATTTATGGCAGACATTCTGCACTGAGGACATTTTTGGAAGAAGCTCTTTATTAATCCGTAAAGCCATTTTTGCACTTACCTCAGTGAAGCTAAAGAAGAGCCCAATACCTCCTACAAATCTCAGGACCATGCCAGAATATTCTTCTAATATGGGTGCACAGGGTGAGCAGTGTGATGTTTGAATACAAGTCTGCAATAAAGTGAAGTTCAACTCATATTAAAGATATGATTTGTTTCAAGTATGTTTAAGTAGAAAGACTGAAAATTTGATCTTAACTTTCAGTGATTCATTCTCCATGTACTATGGGTGACCCCACTAAATTTATGTCCACTCTAAAAATTCAGTCATAGTTGCATCTATGTTATCTGTATGTAATCTTCATGAGTCACAAGGTTATGAAAGTTATAAAGCCAACTCGGTGTGCAAAGAGGGAAAACCCAGCATGCAGGGTACATTGTAATTTTTTTTTATTCAGAAAGATATAATTGCAAAGATATATGAGCGCATTGCTCAATTCTTCTAAGCCAGGATTTGGAGCATAAACAAGGTATCTACTTACAGCTGAACAAGTTCCGTCTTTATTGTCATTTCGGAACCCACAACAATTTAGATTCCTCTCAATATCCTGTTTTGCACTGTTCGTGTTGTTCCACCCAACTTCTAGAAGCTGGCTCTAGGAGACCAAGAAAATTGTTTGATTTAGTAATGTTTCCATTCTTTATACTGTATTTAGCCAAAAGAAAGATGACCCTGAATGTTAAAATGATCCCCATTAAAAAGTGCTATATACAAAGGATTTTTTTAATTATTATTGTACTTAACTGTAACTTTATATGAAGACACCTTCCCTGTGGAAAAAACCTGGTCTTCATTTAAAGTAAACTGGCTGTATCATTTGATGTGATGATATACTATGTTCAAACCTTCAAACAGCACCTTGTCACCTTGGACTAGTGATTGTGAAACTGATAACATGCTGTTTAAAGGTTTGAACATAGTGTAAACCTGCACTTTGATGTATTGTTTTGGTGAACATACGTTTGGTAATACTAGTATTTATATAATAGTACAGAAAATTTTTTAAAAAGAAAAATCGAAAGCAAAAAATAGATCTACCTTAAGCATACAGCTACTATACACAGTGTCATATTTTCCCATATCTTTCTAACACCGTGACCCCCAATTTTGCCTAGCAACAGCCACTGAGGGAAAAGTTAGTCCCACAGGAGCAAAGAAGGAGAAGTGTCTTCATCAGGAGAGACAGCCGTTTTGGCAGTTTTTTTCTGTGAGGGAAGAGTGTCCAGGCTGGCAGTGGGTGGGGGAGAGGAGCAGACCCAGCCCCCAGCCAATGGCACGCAAGTACTCTTGAGTTGATGGGTCAATGGCTGATGGAGCACACTGCACAGCCAATGGGAGAACTGGAAATGGCCAATACGTAAGGGAATTATATACATAGGATTATTAGTTATTTATTATTTTATTTATTTATATGTTCAATTTATAAATTGCTTATTTTCTACTATGTAAGGCTCTAGGTGATGTACAACTGCTAAAAATAAAAGTAAAAACTGAAAATCGCCTACATCATCTCAGATGGTGTCAAACATTCCTTTGTGAGCCCTTCACAACTGCATACAGTGATTAAAGAGGGCCACAGCAGGAGGTACAGTAGCAGCCCTAATAGCCCAGGCTAGCCCGATTTTGTCAGAACTCCGAAGATTAGCAGGGTCGGTACTTGGATGGAAGACCACCAAGGAAGTGAAGAGAATTTTACCACAACCTAACTAGAAATCCAGAGAAGTGGTTATCTTTTTAATTTATGGCAGACATTCTGCACTGAGGACATTTTTGGAAGAAGCTCTTTATTAATCCGTAAAGCCATTTTTGCACTTACCTCAGTGAAGCTAAAGAAGAGCCCAATACCTCCTACAAATCTCAGGACCATGCCAGAATATTCTTCTAATATGGGTGCACAGGGTGAGCAGTGTGATGTTTGAATACAAGTCTGCAATAAAGTGAAGTTCAACTCATATTAAAGATATGATTTGTTTCAAGTATGTTTAAGTAGAAAGACTGAAAATTTGATCTTAACTTTCAGTGATTCATTCTCCATGTACTATGGGTGACCCCACTAAATTTATGTCCACTCTAAAAATTCAGTCATAGTTGCATCTATGTTATCTGTATGTAATCTTCATGAGTCACAAGGTTATGAAAGTTATAAAGCCAACTCGGTGTGCAAAGAGGGAAAACCCAGCATGCAGGGTACATTGTAATTTTTTTTTATTCAGAAAGATATAATTGCAAAGATATATGAGCGCATTGCTCAATTCTTCTAAGCCAGGATTTGGAGCATAAACAAGGTATCTACTTACAGCTGAACAAGTTCCGTCTTTATTGTCATTTCGGAACCCACAACAATTTAGATTCCTCTCAATATCCTGTTTTGCACTGTTCGTGTTGTTCCACCCAACTTCTAGAAGCTGGCTCTAGGAGACCAAGAAAATTGTTTGATTTAGTAATGTTTCCATTCTTTATACTGTATTTAGCCAAAAGAAAGATGACCCTGAATGTTAAAATGATCCCCATTAAAAAGTGCTATATACAAAGGATTTTTTTAATTATTATTGTACTTAACTGTAACTTTATATGAAGACACCTTCCCTGTGGAAAAAACCTGGTCTTCATTTAAAGTAAACTGGCTGTATCATTTGATGTGATGATATACTATGTTCAAACCTTCAAACAGCACCTTGTCACCTTGGACTAGTGATTGTGAAACTGATAACATGCTGTTTAAAGGTTTGAACATAGTGTAAACCTGCACTTTGATGTATTGTTTTGGTGAACATACGTTTGGTAATACTAGTATTTATATAATAGTACAGAAAATTTTTTAAAAAGAAAAATCGAAAGCAAAAAATAGATCTACCTTAAGCATACAGCTACTATACACAGTGTCATATTTTCCCATATCTTTCTAACACCGTGACCCCCAATTTTTGTACTATCCACAGGATGATCGCCAGGCTCCCACCAAGTGTAGGGGATCCTCTGCTCTGGGGGCCCTCCACCGGCATGGATCAGCTGGCCGGGACGGATACCAGCAGGAAATGGAGGCCTAAGTTTGCATCACTGGCAACGCAGCTATGTCACCTCCAGCATGCACAAGAAGTGATATCATCACATCACCAGCAACACAGGGATGCTCTGGTATCTGGGCAAAACTCTATGGTAAAAAACTTCTACTATAGTTTTGCTCAAATACCAGAATGTCCCCATGTTGCTGTTGACTTGATGATGTCACTTCCAGTGTCTGCCAGAAGTGACACTGCTGCATCACAGGCAAAGCAAGCCTAGCCCTCTCTTTGCTCCCAGAAAGTTCCCCCCACCCCTTGCTGGTACCTGGCAACCCTACTCCACGGTGCCTATGGGTGTCACATTGGGGGATCCTGCTTTAGGCGATGTTCTGTGTTTGATGTCAACATATTAATTTATGACAGTGGTGAACAAGTTTGACCCTCCAGTCACAGCAGTCTGAGTGCCAAAGACACCCCCCCCCAAAGACTGCTGTTGACTGCCCATTCAGAAGAGGGGAAAGTAATGTTCTTTTCACTGCTATCTTATGAATAGCTACAACTAAACTAGCGTTTGCTCAGTGGCTGCTAGTGTTTGATGCAGCCAATACATGAGGAATTAGCATCCAGTACTTGAACACTCAGTGCTTCTCAGGGACTGCCAGTTAGTTGCCCCATTTTCAAACACTGTGGTCATTTCTGAGCGCCAGGAACCCATATACCAGTTTGACAATTACTTGTTTGAGAGCCTGATTCTTAATGACGTTAAGTGGGAATGCTCACTCAATTAAATCAAAGGTAAATAAATATAAATATTTATACCAAATATAATATAAAATCAAACGCGTGAAGGAGTTACTGCTTTGTTTTTAACTTGGATGTCAAGAATTAATTAAGCCCAGATATGCCATGAAATTATATATATCCCCTGCAAAGTTGTATAGGCCCTAGCTGCTTGTTTAGGGCTCTCCTCTCTGCTTTTCAGCTTCTTCCTGCAAGTTTAATCAGCACCCTCCCTAACTTAAAAGAGAAAGAACCTAAAAGAGGTGTAATAGTTGTATCAGATACAGCCAAACCTGAGCTTGGGGATAAGGGTATGTTGCTGATTAGCTGCAGAGTTCATAAGCTTGCCAGTAACAATTTAAGCGCAGAAGCACACAGCTCCTGAACCATGGGTTTGGTCACCTCTAATGAAAATCACTTTCTGCTGACTCATGCAGACATATCCCTGTCCCTGTATTAGACACATCAGCCATAACTAGATCACTGGTGCTTTTAGACAAAAAAGTGGCATGTCTTACCTGTTGGTCTTTGTTCAATGTTAAACAAGCACAGGAGACGGAGAACTGTATAATAAACACTACCAAGAGAATAATCATGTACTGAAATCACTCTGTTAAGGTAATCAAGACTGCACTTTCACAATGCATATCACAAACCCAAAGTTAAACCACAGCATGGAAAAAAGGAGAATTTTTGCCATAAATCCTGATTTGGATTTACTTCCAATTAGATATATGCCTATTGAACAAGACAATGTGAAGTGGCCATCTTAGAGTGCAGATTTTTATGCCATTACTGGTAGCAGACAGAGGAAGGAATTCATGGGGTACTATCCACAGGGAAGTTCTCCTGCCTCAGCTCTCAGTACCCAAAAATGCCTCCTGACAGGCTGTGTCTCATTTCATTAATGGAAAGAAAATGCCATTTGGATGTTCCACCTCACTTCTCTGACATTTTGGACAGGCCTTGGACCCCCCATAATTAACACAATTTATAAACAGTTATTTATAAACATTTAAACAGCTGGTTTAAGTAAGGGCAATATATTTCCTCTGGTTTGTCTCTAGAATCCCCTATACATGACATTGTAACTCCATTTAAAGACAGATTATTTCATAAGGTATGCTGTCTAGACTTTTAACAGCAAAACAAAATCAATTGTGCCTTCGGCTCTTGACACACTAAAACTGTTTTACATTGCTTAACTCTGTATCTTATTCCTTGACAGCTGTACAGTTTATTCCTCACTGGAGATTAGGGGCTATGCAAATTTCCACACTGGGCAACATGGTCAAATCTGCCAACATACCCATATTTAGAACTCGAAGCTTTATTCTTTGTTCATGCTTCTACCTCAGTTCAAATCCTCCCCTGCCAAAACACGACTATTTAGCTGGACACTGGCTTATCTCTCAGAGTTGCATATGTGAGCCACTGCTGATCTTTCATGAATCAGGCTGTACTTCAAATGAAGAAGCTTGGCCTGATTGTTTTCTCATATTACCACTGCTGACATGAGATTCTTAAGCCTCCGTCCCTGGCAGCACTTTTCCTAGCCCGGAACAAAAGGGAAGCAACTCTCAATAATA